CTCAGGGCGAGCTGGCCAAGCTGGGCGGGCCTCTGTCGGCGGCGCTGGGCCAGCTCTCCCCCGACAGCCGGAAGCCAGCGCGCGGCCGGCTGCCCTCCAAGACCAAGAAGGAGTTCATCTGCAAGTTCTGCGGGCGACACTTCACCAAGTCCTACAACCTGCTCATCCACGAGAGGACCCACACCGACGAGCGGCCCTACACCTGCGACATCTGCCACAAGGCCTTCCGGAGGCAAGATCACCTTCGTGACCACAGGTCAGCCTCTGCCTCCGCCGGCCAGGCAAGGAGCCCCGCTGGAGGCCTCCCCAGATGGTGGGGCTGGAGTACGCCCTGAGGTTTCACTCGTTTGGGCTTAATCGGTTGTTGGAGACCCTGGCTTACCGCGAAGTGTGTTGAGTGTTTTATTCAGAAAACCATAGTTAAAATAAATCAAGGCTTATTGAGCGGCCTGAGCCCAATCAGAGGCCGGATTCAAATATAATGCTAAGCCATATTGTTGATTGTTTGTTTTATGGTTTATGACCTGTTCAGTAAATCCTAGTAAAAACATGATTTAGCATGATGTAGGAACGGGGCTATCCACTGCAGACCCAATTTAAATACAAGATGTTCTTATGATCCGTCTGAATGAAGTCAGTAGGGTTTATTTCCAAGAGAATTAAGTTGGAACCATGGATGTAGTCATTCTCTTGATTTGCCTTCAACCATTGATCTGAAAAGACATGCCTGATTTTGAAGCCAAGTGATTTCTAAGATAGTGGGGCTACACTAGGTGATATGGTTGGAACAGGAGGCAGAACTTCTATTGCTTTGAGGAAGAATGATTGACTTTAGTCTTATTGTCTTCAGTGGAACATATTTCTAAGGTTAGAATCTCAGCTTAGAATTCTCCCTCATTTGAAGGTCCTCTGATGTTCTTGATCATGTTTTTTGCCTCTGCTTTCTTTTTTGCCTTTGGGCTATAATATAACTATCACTAAAGACTTGGCAGTAAGAGCACAAAAATATTTATGGGTTTGTAATGATGTACAAATCTCTACAAAGAGACTCTTTTGTGGCTTATTTCGAGAGAGCAGACTTTTTGGTCTCTTTTTATTCCACGAAGAACCCTAAATTCTCCTGTCAGATTTATAAACTTAAACATAAACATTCAAGCTGACATTAATCAAGGGGCAATTTTGATTAACTTCACCTGGAATTACCTGCCAAAGTAGTAAATTGGGCTTAGATCCATGAGTATTTACATAGGATTACACCCTTGCTAAGCAGCCCTACAAATAAGCTTCACTGTATTCAAAGGGGGTTATTCGCTAAGAAGGCAACAAAGAGCTATGAAGAATTATTGTAAAGGGTCTGAACATGTTAAAAAGGGACACTCGGGATGAACAGCTAGGCAGCATATAATTCTGGTTTCAAAGATTTGATTATGTAGAAGTTGGGTTGGTTATAGCACTTGCTGTGTGCACAGAAATATTGATTCCAAACACTTCTGTTGGTTTCCAGGTATATCCACTCCAAAGAAAAACCATTCAAGTGTCAAGAGTGTGGGAAAGGATTTTGCCAGTCCAGGACTCTAGCCGTTCATAAAACTTTACATATGCAGGTAAGGCCAGGCTTGATTATTGTACACATTCTATTTTGATCTTAATTGACTGTGAATATAAACACACAGTAATTATTTTCTAGATGAGTAAAAAAAATGCAAAAAGAGATAGATGTATGATTCTTTTTAATCTGAAATCTTTTCTGCTGTTTTACTCATATACTGATATGCAGAAAACAACAGAAACCCATATTTAATGTATTTGGAGTTTGTAACATGGGTATTTAGGTGGGGGAGACAAGGGGGCAAATGATGACATGTGCAAAGTGATACCATCAAGCCAGTGTTGTGACTCACGTACTTGCATCAGACATCAGGATGCAAGTATGTAATAGCATTTGTGTTAAGACATTACTGCCTGCATGTCATCATTTTGATGTAATTGCAATTCACTGCAGATGCCTCATGTCTTGTTTTTTGACTAGTAAAAACAACAAGCACCCAAATTCCGGGAGAAAAGTAGGATATCAGTCAAATAAATAAAAATTACTCTAGCATAATTAACATTTCCTAATGGCTGTGAGCCTATGTGCATTTATTTAAAGAGTAAATTCCATTGAATTTAGCAGGATTTACTTATGAGGAAAGATAGCCTGGTTAAGTTTGCCTTTGTTCATTTAAGACTTCCGTGTTCTAACACTTGAAAAAGCTCCTTAAGTAGCCAGATGCTCTTGAAGCAACCTATAAATGGCTAAATGAGATGTGCTCTTTGATTGAAAAGCCCAGATTAAAAAGACTTGCTTTAAGTGAGAAGAGATGAGCCAGGTCTCCCTGGGAAGCCAGGTGGATTAGCAGGAGACATTTTTCCCTAGATTCCAGGAACCGGGAAATGCAAACCAAGGAGGACTGGCCTTGACAGGCAGGAAGATATGTCTGTGCAATTAAGACTGTAATCTTAAACACACTTACAAGGGACCAAGAGTAAATCAATAGACCTGCTTCTGGATTCCAGATGCGTTTTCTGGAAGTCATTGTGCCTGCAGTAAAACTGCAGTTAATGTTAAAGTAAAGCTGTGATTCTGAGATCAGCCCCAAAGAAAATTGACCAACTGACTAGAGCGGTGTTTCTCAACCTTGGCAACTTTTAGATGGGTGGACTTCAACTTCCAGGATCCCCAGCCAGCCAGAATTCTGGGAGTTGAAGTCCACCATCTGAAAGTTGCCAAGGTTGAGAAACACTGGGCTAAAGAAAATATGAAATCGTGTGCCTGTCTGGATGCACGTATATTGTGGTTGGAGTAATCTAGTTATTGAAGTTTATGCAGATTTCCTTTCAAGTAAATGTATTTGCGATGGACAGTAAGCACAACAGTGTATGAATCTCAGATTCTAAATCTGAAAAGTTATGGGCATTTATTTGGGAGTAACCCCTACTGAATCCTATTGCAATGACTTCAAAGTAAATTTGCATAAAATCAGGCTATAAATGCATGCACAGTGCAGTCCTGTGTATTTTGGTCTCTTGTCTTTGGTGTTGCCTATTACTGCCAATTTACGTTTGCACAGAATTGCAGCTGCACATGAAACCCACCTGCACTGATTTTCTGTGCGTGAGGGCTTAGATTGCAAGTTTATTTTGCGTTGCCATGTTCTTCTTGTTGTACTACAATTAATGAGGCCAAAAATGGGGGGGGGGGAGGAAATGCTGAGTGAACTTTGAAAAGCTCGATAATCCAAGTAGTTTGTAAAGGGTTTAATCCTTTGCTTGCTTCAAATCTGAACAGGAATCTCCACACAAATGCCCCACATGTGGAAGAACCTTTAATCAAAGAAGTAACCTGAAAACTCACCTTCTCACCCATACAGACATCAAGCCCTACAACTGTGAGCAGTGCGGCAAAGTGTTCAGGCGCAACTGTGATCTGCGGAGGCACAGTCTAACTCACACCCCGCGGCAGGACTTCTAGAGCAGCCGAGACCCCCCTCCCCCGGGGAGCTAATTCTGGCTCAAGGACTTGAACTGTAGCGTAATCTTTATGTCCACGTGGGTGAAGTGGACGGGTGCATCGCGGGGCTTGATCACAGGTCCCCTGGCTCCAGCCAGTCCTCTTTCAGTTGTGGTGGGGGAGTAATACCCGCTCCAGGCGTTCTCCCTGCACCGAGAGGGCAGGCGGGTTTCTTGTACATAGTAACAGAGCAGCTCATTTTCGAGCTCTGCACCGACCTGTTTGCTTTCTATTGTCTTACCAAATGCACATTGGTACCAGCAGCAAAACCTGGGAGTGAAAATACCTTTTTCAAATTGTATGTCCAAATAAACACTTTCCCTCCAAATGTAATTTTCATTCTGCTTAGTTTGAATAAGTAACACAGTTTACTTCTTCTCTCCCTTTGTGACAGTTAAAGTCAAAAGAGTTTAAACTGTTCTTTTTTAAGGAAAAGGCTTTGAGAGAGATGTGTCTGTGTCTGTGTATTTAATTCTTTGTTTATTTCTTTGGTACCTTCTGGTCAGTTTTTGACTCCTGGTGACGGCCTGGACTAGTCCCTGCCGTTTTCTTGGCAAGGTTTTTTGGAAGTGGTTTGCCGTTCCTTCCTTCCTAGGGCTGAGAGAGAGTGACTGGCCCACGTTCACTCAGTTGGCTTCATGAACTCATGGCTTCCCGATTTTTAGAAGTGGAAATCTATGCACATTGAATCAAAAGTAAAAAACCATAAAGGTCTTGAATGTTTCTGGATGGAGGACTCCCTGCCATGCCAGTCAAAACAGAGTGGGCAGCTATTCTGTCTTTGAGCTATGCCTCTAGTGATGTAATGGCCGTCAGACACCCCAAGACACAGTCAAGCCAAGCCCGGGAGAACACAAAGCTAACCTCGTGGGGAAGCATTAGCTTTGGGGTGCAGCCATGTAAATAGCTAATTTTAAAAAGCGCTCTTTTTAAGGTTTGAGCTAGAGAAGGACACAGAAGGGTTGTAAAGATGACGGTTGGGTATCCTCTGTGGTTGAAGACATAGGCAAAATGATTTACAGAGGAAAAGCCTTATTTGGAAGCCCCCCAGTTAAAATATGGAAATGAATTTAGCAGCACTGCCTGGCAGTGCAGTTGAATTTACTGATGTGTACTTGAGCTCAATGGGACTTATTTGCAGGTAACTGGGTAGGAATGTATATAGTAGAAAAGGAACTCTACTGAACCCTGTGAAACCTAAGCGTAGATTGTGCTAGTTTTTGTGGAATCCAATCCTGTCTCCTCACTGAATCCATCATGGAATCTACCTCCATAATTCTGTGGATATTTACTCTGAAATAAATCACACCAAGTTCATAAGAGTTGTACTCTGTCAACATGTTCAGGTTATAGTCTTTACTTCTGCTCTCCTGGATTATGTTCACACAGCAGGTTTAATCCATCAATCATGGCTAATATGTTAAACTGGCTGTTCACAAAACACACTTAGCCATGGTGGTTTGTTCCCCATGGTCAAAGCATTAGCGTTTGGGGTGAACTCAGCCCGTGGGTCTCTCGGCTTCCCTTCTTCCCCTCACCGAAATAGCTCCAGGATTCAGCCCACGTACAATGATTGAAAGAAAGGCAAACGGGGGCCGGGAAATGCTTTAAAATCCTCCCTAAAGCCTAAAGGGATTTATTAGTTACTTATTGGCAATCAGGCCAGCTCTTCCCGAGAGATTGCCTCCTTTTTAGACTTTGAACGCAGGCGGCTGCAGCTTAGAGACAGGGACTTTACACTGCCCGAGACGGGGCGGGCGGGCTGGTCGACCGGCCGGGAAGCTCTGGAAAACAAACAGAGCGGCGTCAATAAAGCCGCCGATTGGGCGGCGGCCGCCTCGGCCGAAGGGCTTTCCAGGAGCCGCGTTACGCGAGTTCATCAAAAATCGCGAAGGCTCCGCGAGCCGCGGAAGGGCGCCGCCGCCACTTTATCCCCGGCGCTTCGGCTGAAGTTCTGCCGCGGCGCCCAACGCGCCGCCGCCGCCGAGTCCGACCTCAGGAGCCGCTGACAGCCACGCGGGATCGCGGGCCACAGCCTCTGCAGCGGCGAACGAAAAGTCCCGCGGTTGCGGAGATGCTCCCTCCGACGGCTCTAACGCTCGCCTCGGCCGTGCGGAAGCCTTCCCAGAGCGCCCGCGGCCGCGCGGAGGGGAGGGAGGCGAGCTTGCCCGGGCGGAAGAGAAGGGGTCGCTCGGGGGCGAGAGGCAGCCCAGGCGAACGAGCGCGGCGAAACGCTTTCCGTGCCGAATCCCGGATGGGCGGGGCTCATCATTAAGATTGTCACGATCCGGTTTTAAAATTGTCACCCCCCAGGTTTCTTCTTCGAAGAAAGTTCAGTAGCAAAATAATCGACGGTGGGTCAAGTCATGCATTGGGCTGGTGTGCGTGTAGAAGTCCATAAGGATAGGTAACCTGGCCCTTTCCAAATGTTATTGACTACAGTTTCCATAAGCCCCTGCCTGAACGGCCTGTGATCTAGACTGTGCATTCAGAAGACAACAGGTCACCTACTCCCCCATATTAAACATCACATAGGCTGGTGATAAAACTAGATTAGGGCTACCAAAGGTAGGCTGCAAAAATTGGACAGCTCCTAAATGAGAGCAACCATATTTAGGAAACTCAAAGCCCTCGCTGCCATCCAGGGCTTGTCCAGATCTTTGCAGCCCAAATCTGGTAGCCATAATAAAACTGAATGAAGCAGTAAGCCTCTGAAGCATGGTGTGCGAATGTGCCATCTAGTGTCAGGGTAGCAAACTGCAACCTTTTGTGATGCTCAAAACTCTGACTACAAGTACTGCAAACCAAAGGCACGGTTACTTTTAATTCTGAGATGGGACGCAGATGTTGGGCAAGCCGGAGACTTTCAAATGGTGGATTGCAATCCTGGGGTGGGGGTGGGGGATGAGCATCTTTGAAGGCCATCATTTGTGGTCCTGCTTTGCACAGATGTGGGTGGCCTTTGCCAAGCTGCTGGAACCAGCCAGGGCTCTCCTCTGATGGCACTTACAGCAACAGCTTCTGCAAGCCCCGCGTGCTCCTGAGTGGTGCCCAAGGTGATCCAGCCAGGGCTGAGGTGCCTTTCCCAGCCTCCCCTTCTTCTCCGCCAAGAGCCTCTCTTCCTGGGAGGAGGATGCCACACTGCGCTTGTATGCCTGCTCCGGGTAATCGGTGGCCGGTGCCGTTGAAGAAGAGGAGAAGCAAGCCAGTGAAATCCATTCCCCCTTTCCTTAAGTTGCCTGCAGTAAGAAAGTAGAGCCAGCACCACTGGCTGGCCTGGTTCCTGTTGCAGAATAGGGGTCAGCCATGGGAGCCACCCATTTATATGCTGCACATTTGTCTTCTGGCTCAAGGATTGGTGGACGGTATTTGAACCTAGTGGTGAGGGAGAGCCCCATAAAACCTGCAGATCTGGACAGCACCCTTTGAGTGACCTGGCAGGAATAAGAGAAAAACCATCCCCTTACCTATAATGGTGGTGCGCTCATAAACTAGGACCCTTCAGCAAATACATTCAGCAGGGGCTCAACAACTGACGGAACAGAGGCAAAAAGCAATGGGACACCACCTGCTATGCCAGCTAGAGCTGTGCAACTCTTGGATATAAAAAAAAGTTGTGCCAATGCCCAGGGCACTTACCAACACTTACCAGCACCTCCTTAAAGAAGCTGGGCTCGCACAGCCCAAAGAAAAAAATGTGCTTGGCTTAAGACGGTACCAAAAGGCTTCTTGCAAACCCACCCATGCTCTAAATCACCTTAACCCCTTCAAATTCACATCACTGCATGCCCTAATGTCTGCATTGTTTTCTGCCAGATCAAGGTTGGGAGTCTTGCATGTTAACTCGAGTCAGATCATGGGTGGTTCATCCTTCTAGCAGCACCTAATACCTGTGCTAACCCCACAGAGCTTGCATGCTCCAGAAGAGTTGGATTGCAACTCCCAGAATGGGAGCATCCACAATGGCTGTGTCACACTAAGCCATCATATGATTAATTTGTTTGTGGCTTAGCGTAACATTCAGCTGTGGCTAACAGCAACTGTCCAGCTTTTCCAAAACCTCCCTGAGGATATCAAGTAGCGAAGCTGGGCCCTTCCATGCAAACTACATGACCTCCACTGAGGAGGTTCTTCTCTGTGGGGAAAATGTGGTTTATTTTGTTTGGCTCAGCATACTGTGTGGATCCAGCCTTTGGGGCACCACCTGGATGACTAGCTGATTGTGAACAGCAAGGCAGGTTCGGACCTGGTTAGTATGTATCCTCTGCATATCCTCCAACTCCGTTCTGCAGAGTCCAAGTGAGATACGTTACTCTTAACATGTTTTCATTCGGGTTGCTGGTTAATCTAATTATCTTTCTATGGTGGTTGGGTTCATATGTTGTGCTAAAACATGGTTTGCTAAACCAGGGTTAGTTGAGAAACTCACAATTTGCTATCTTAGCCAACATGTTAAGTGAAAAACAAATCACATTTTGGCTTTTTGAAATGCGTGAAGTGCAGTGTAAGCTAGGCCAAGGTTTGTTTAACCACGGTTTTGTCTGCATGCAGAAGACACGTTAAAGTAAAACTAAAGAAGCCACAAAGTTACTTAGTGTGTTGGGTGAACTGGTCCAATATGTATATGCACAAATAAACAGATATACACAATCAACATTTTGGAATCTTTAAATATAGCAGAATACAGGAAAATAAACATTTGGGTTTCTTAGTACGGATGTTATTAATACTGTTGAAGAAGATTTTCAAGATTTCTATTCCTCTATTCAATGTGACATGAATGGAGTGGACCTATTTTTCCAAGCACTTTGCTGGTTCATTTATTACAGTTATGTTTGCAGAACATGTGCTTGTATGCTAACCTAAAATTTGAAACCAACATAATACAATGCAAAAGTCCATGCTAAAAATATCCAGGCAGCTGGAAGTAACAGAGCCATGTAATACAGAGTGTGGGCTGTTTGTTTCCAAAGATTTCTTCATAGAGCTTCTCCATAATTCAAAAATATGGTCTGTCCGTCCAGCTGCCATGACTTTCTAATCACAGCCTCCTGCCACATAAGGATGTAGGAAGCAGGGCATTCTTTCAGGATCCCACAAGGGCACAGAGCAGGACCAAGGCTTTGATTATCCCCATGGTTTTCCGGGGGGGGGGGAGGGGAGGGGCATCATATTATCATGATGTCATCACACAAATTGCAAATGTGTTTATTTTATCAATTTATACGTCTGCCCAACTTGCAAATTGCAATTCAGGGCAGCTAACATAGGATTAAAAACAAGAATAAAAAGTTAACCAGCAAATAAAAATAACAATAAC